TTGGCATATTGGCAAAATAACAAATATATCCAACTCCCAAATTCTTTTTCAAAAATACCAAATTATCAATTTAATGATCAACACAACTCATATTTCTCTTATATTCACAATGCTTCAAATAAACCACAACTAAACAATCAACTTAAAATGCAAAACTCAAAAAAGAATACAATATTTTGAACTTAATATAAATAATTAAAAAATTTAAGCATTTTAAAATATTTATGTAAAGTTATATAAATCTGCTTCACAACTCTTATCATCTCTTTTATTACCTTCTTCAAAAATCATTCAAATACAAAACATAATACTAAACTCCATATATTAAAACCAACTCATAAACCTTCATCAAAAAATACTACTTCTCAACTCAACTAATTTACACTTTTATACTAATGCCTTTATACTCAATTCACAAACACATAACATATTTACAGGCATTGCCTGATTCTTGAAAATGATACACAGATTAAATTTAATGCCTTTATAACTTATGCATCCAACTCCATATGAGCAGAACTAGCAGCACTCATTTCTTTATTCCTTATTCTACCTACAGACTACCAAATCTATATTTATCTTAATAGTTTATCTACTATTCAAACTCTTACAAATGCAATACCTTACAACCAAAATTTCCAAACTAAACAAAATAACTGGGATATAATTCATATTCTAAATCACTTAATCAAACACAAAAACATTAACTACACTACTCATAAAGTTAAATCACACTCAAACAATACATTATATAATATAGCTAATGTTTTAGCTAAACAGAATGCTTGTAAAACTGAACTAAAAATCAATCTTGACTATCTTTATCTACCTACCTTTTTTACTTGGAAAGAAACACTAATTACATATAAACTACGAAAATTCTGTAAAAACTTACTTTCTATTCAAACATTCAACAAACTCTTACAACTCAAACCACTATGAAATCTTTCAACAATAAACATCCAACTTCTTACAGAAATTATCAACTCCCAAAACACAAATCCCAAACTATATTCTATTAGGAATAAAATATTTCTTAATAACTTACCAACAATATCAAATTTAAATACTCGCTATCCTTTTCTTTACTTAACCTTAAATTGTTCAATTTGTAATCAATATAAAATACTGCACATCTCTTACAATATTCACTTCACACTTATAACCCACAAAACATTCTCACTAATCAAATTTCCAATATATTAAACTCATTAAACCTCTCAGAAACCTCATCACATACAATAACACAAATTTTAAATCCACAAAATTCTCTTTTTAATTCTACTATATATAATACAATACTCTTACTCATTTAAGGAACAATAACTCTTGATCAATACGAACAACTAAAACCTAGTCTAAAAAAAACTAACTAACAACTTCCTTATTTACCTATCTAACTCTCTACTTAACTAGTTTAACACCATTATTTGGCAAACCCGAAATACTAAACAACATGAATGGGAATTAGCATGAGGGATTACCACCTTAACAAAAAAGAAAAACAACATCCGATTACCTATTTTATAATCTCTAAACTTTTCTAACACTAGCTTTATATTTGATACTAATATAGATCCTTTTATTCTTAAAACCCTTACTCAAAACTTCACTATATATAACTGTTTTTATTAATTTAAATAATCTTAAGGGCTCCTTTTACCCTTCTCTGTAGTTAAAGATTACAACAGTTGATTTAACTAATACAGATAACCAAAGGATAATATCACACTAGATGTCATTAATATATAGCAACAATAGTGTAGTTTAAGAATAATTTTTACTTATACATTTATATCCAATTGATATACTTATGTATTACTATATTTTCCTACTTGATATTATATAAAAAAAAAAAAAAAAAATTATTGTAACCTATTATTTAATTATTTTTACAGTATTAAGCAGCAAAAAAAATCAATTTATAAAATATAAAAAATATTATACTTTTTTAAAATTATAGACCAAGTAAAAATTTATTTTAATAAAAATTGTAGTTTAAATAAAACAACAACAAATTTGTAAAAGAGATTTTTGCTAAACTAGTTTGTTTTTGAGTTATAGTACTTTAAATTTTATATAGATTTAAAAAAGTTAGCATTTAATATTTAAAAAAATATTTATATAATTTATTAACCAATCAAAATTTATTATATGAAAATTATCATAATTGATTATATAGTCTTAAAGTTTGGCACTTTTGAAAAATATTGGATGTTTATTGTTGTTCAGTACTGTAGTAAATTGTTATTTTAGCATAAAAAATATAGTAAAGAATTATTTAACTTTAAGGTCATACAAACTTAATAAATCGGTTCTCATAACATAAAATTTTTAAATGTGACCCGGCTTTTAATTTTATTTTCAAAAATTTTATATATAAAAAACAAAATTTTTTAAAAAAACTCACCCGGAAATTAAGTATACTTGAAATTTTTTTTGAGTTTTGTAAATTTCAACCCAGCCGGGTTATGAAAACCGATTTATTAAGATTGTATGGCCTAATGTATATTTTTTAAATTATTTCGTGTAAATTACAGATAAAACTGAGGTAGAATAGACGTCATATTTTAGTTAATAGTTGAACCGTTTAACCGCCTAAAAACAGGTTTATCGATTTATGTGAACGTTGGCCAGAATTATTTAAATTGAACAAAATTTTAGATCCTCATTTTAACTTCAACTTCTAATAATAATACTTACAAAATTAATTTCTATAAATGCAAACATCCTTAAACATACAGTATATTTCAAGAGGACGCATATATCAATTATTAATTTTTTTATTACATCTCTTAATCATCAATTTTTAAAACATCTTTAAACCAACAGATTACAAATAAAGGTCTAAAACCAACAGATTTTACAGAAAATGTCATTGGCTCATAAGGCATGCACTGAAATTCAATAGCTAAATCTGCAGCAATTTCATGAGAAAAATTTTGAGATTTGGAACATGTACCTAAAGACGACATTAAAATTTCAGAAATTTCTAGTTCTTTTAATATTTTTGTTTTTACACCGATACAGCTAATATCATCAGTTCTTTTATGTTTGATGATATCAAGAAAATTGTCCATTGGTTTGGTTTTATTTTTACCGTTGTTTGAATTTTCATCAGCATTATTGGCATCTCCCTCTTTTTCTTTAATATAACACTTGTCTCTGATCTCAAAATTGGATTTACTTTCATCAGTATAATAACATTTAAAAAAAGCCTTTATACCCATAACCAAATCCTTAACCAATGGCTTTTTCAAACTAGTAGTAATTGGCAAAAACTCAATCATAAACTTTGTAGTATATTTGTCAGGCTTTGGAATTGTTCTTAATTCCATTTGGATTTCATGCTTTGTTATAACTTTAGAGTGATCATAACATTGTAGAGTTAATGTGGCAACAATCGGATAGAGTTTTGAGAAGTTATAAATAATGCGTGTAAAAAGAATTTGATCAACTACTTTTGACCAGGTTTTACAAACTAAACGAAGGTGTGGAAGATATGAGAAGTAAGAGATGTGAAGAAGAATTTTCTTTATCAGTTGGATGGGAAGAGTTGAGAAAGGAGAAGGTTTGGTAGTGGGCCGTCTATAAAGAACCATATATTATTTTTATGAAATACAAGATCGGTATTAGTATGAAGAAACATACCAACATACCTATGCTTTAATGAAAGAGTGGATTCTCGAACTGTAAATTTTGATGTGCTAATCATGTTTTAATCAATATGAATAGAACAGTTTTTATTAATGGAAAAAATTTAATTTATAATTCGACTTTAAGAGATAATCCAAACAAAACATTGCATGCTCAAGAAGTAAATCGTCGTTCAATAGGTAATAATAGGTAATCGAAAGTCCAATCTGTCCTTTTATTTAATACGCACAAATTTCATAATTTGTTGCACAACTTTCACGTATCTACTATTTAAGAATAAAAGTGCTTTTTTTTTTTTTTTTTAAAAAAAAAAAAATAAAAGTCTGCTGACTAGCACTAGTATAAACTAAAATAGTTAATATAATCTACCCCTAAAATCAAGTCGGTACGTAACACACTTATTTTATACGTACGTAATCGAAAAATGTAAGCCAAAATTGTTTCATTTCCAAATTAGAAAGATTCTATATCTTTGTATAACACATATTATTTTGAAAAAGTAGATCTCTCTTTTAATTATATTATTTTTGAAAAAAGATTTCTCTGATAATTAAATGATCAGAGTCAATGCGATCCAGTATGTGCGTACAGGAAAAGTCGGTCCCAGCACAATGTTGGAATTCATATTAACGATAGATAGATTTAAAGAACTACTTTATATACATTTTAGATTTCTTAGGGTTTCGTTCCCATCTGGGTACAGTTGTTAGACGAAGGCATTTTGCATAAATGGCGAAAGACCTGGCGAAAGTCAAAACTCTACGAAGTTTAAATCCTCTAAGGCTGACTGAGTCATGTTGGTGAACTTATAATTAAATCAACTCAGCCAAGCTTGAAATCTAGTTTTCTTTTAGAAGCGCTTATCTATGTATTAATATTATTTATATGAAATAAACTTAAAGTTTTCTTTAAATATATATTTACATAAATCTAACATTTGTTGTTAAAGCTTTAAGTAGGTTGACATTTTAAAAAAATTAATGCCTTAACTTTCACTGCTCATATCTCGATGAATTTCGAAGTTATCATTACTATTCAATGGTCAAAAGAAGCTTAAGATTTGGTTTTCTTTGACAATTTCGAAATTCATCAAGATATAAACAGTAAAAGTTAAGGCATTAATTGTTTTTATAAAAAAAATGTCCATCTGCTTGATTCCTATTGACGATAGTCCATATGTTATTGGGGTCTGACTGTATTCATATTTCTTATTTGCGTGAATGTAAATAATTTCTTCACAATGATTTAGTCATTTGCGTTGCTTTAGTTTAAATATGACCATTCATTTAATTTATTTATATTTATTTCCCTCATTGGTTCAACTAATTATTCACCGTATTATTTGTGTTATTATAGCTCTTCGATTATACATGGGCGCCTAAATTCGGGTCGATTTACGGCATTACGGCATGACGGCATTTTTTATATTTTCGGCAGTCGTAATTATTTCGGTTGCTGAAAAAATAAACTCATAATTTATTGTAGCTACATATAGGTCCAACTCCTTTTGTGTACAACCCTCTAGCTAGCATTTTAGGTCATATTCAACTTTATATGATCAAGGTGGCCATAACGTCATAACAGGTTATAAAGGTCATAACCTATAATAGGTTAGCTAGTGTTACAAATCAGCAAAAATTTTCCAATCGATTAGTTGGTCATTATTTTTTCAGTTGGTTGCAACTATTGATTAGTTGCAATTAATTCATTAAGTAAATAAATAATTTTTCAATTGATTCTTTGCAACTAATCAATTAATTCTTTAGTTGATTAGTTGCAACTAATCAATTAGTTGATTAATTGATTAGTTAGTGTCTAAAAGTTTAACCAATTAATCGATTAATGTAGATTTTAATTTGTATCATTACTGCTGGCTAGTGTTTAGCATCAATGACATTCAAATACTTATAATTAGTTGGATATCAAATGTTTATAGATTAAACAAGTTATACTATAATAGAATTTATTTTTTTTATATATTATTATACATTTATTTTTAATTTTATATTATATTTTATATTTTTCTTAATATTTTTATATAGTTTATAAATTATTTTATTAGTTTTAATTACTTATTTAATAGGTTAATATTTATTTTATTAGTAAATTTCTTATAAGATTTTATTTTAATTAATAATTATTTAAATATTTAAAATAATATTTGTTTAATATTATAAAAATCTTAATCAAAGGATTCAGATCATGTTCTAGATGTTTCAGATGTTTTAGAACATTTTAAAACAATAAAAAATTAATTTAATTATTTTTTTAAAAAATATTAAAAATAAGGTCATTCTTTTAATTTTATCAAAATTTAATTGAAGTTTTTATAAAGAAAAGTTTGATTTTAAATTACATACAAAAGTGATCAAGACTTATCTAGATTTGAATTTGAATAATAATATAAGAAAAAGGATATAATATTTAATCTATTGAATAGTCCAAAGCTCAATTTTAATAATAATTTATAGAATTGAAATAAAAGATAAGAGTAAACTAGAAAAAGAACTATGAAATAAGTTAGTAAAAGATATAGTTTAGGACTGTGTAGAGTATAAAATACAGTATAGAATCCATATTTGTTTATTTATTTGTTGATTTAAGTAAAAAAGAAGCTTAATAGAAAGAAAAGTAATAATATAATAAAAAATAAAAATATTGTAAATAGTAGAAATAAGATCAGTAAAAACTAAACCAGATAGAGTAAAAATAAAAAAAAGTATATATAAAAAATTATGCAATTTAAAACTATTAAGAATAAGAATTTCTTTATATAGATTAAAAACAAAATTAACAGAAATGTCAAGAACTATTGTATTTAAGATGCTGTTAAGAAAATTAGAAATTAAGTAATAAATTATTTAAGTTAAAATGCAAATAGCTTAGAGAAATAAAGAACTAGTTTAGTTATATTAGTAACAAGTAAAAGAATAAGAAAAATTATATTTATGAAGAATATAGAAAACAAAAAGTTCATTTGTAAGGATTTTAATTCAAAAAGTTTTTAAAGTAGATAAATAAAAGTTGTAAGTAAAATTAGAAATTTTTTAATTATTGCTAATATAAAGCCATATAGTTTTTTAATTTATATTAAATATAATAATAAACTATTATTAAAAATAATATTAAGATGTTTAAAGTATTATAATGTAAACTTAATATATAGTTTAGATAGTGCATTAAATAAGAAGTTTAATAAAAAATTAGTTGATAAATGATATATAAGTAAGGTTATAAGAATTATTAGTTAAAAAGATCAAGTAAGGTAATATTTAATAATTACAAGCAAGTTGGTTAGCAAGATTGTTGAATAGATCATTTTGATATGCAGTAACTTTGTGAAATCTTATAAGAATTAATAAAGTTAATAAGAGTATGTTAAATAAAAAAATATGAAGTATAAATATAAAAAAGAGTAGATACTAATTGGCAAATATTATGATATTTAGAGATTACTAATTATGAATTAGTAAATATGTAAACAGAGTAGTGTTTAGAAGTAATAATAATTGCTAAAAGAATAATATAAATTTTAGTTTTAAAAGAACATAACTATATGTCTAAAATGAGTTAATAATTGTAGAGTTGTTAATTTGAATCCAACCTATATCTATAAAGCATTTAAACCTTTTTTTGGTATTAAGGTGACCTCTTTGGTTTTTTGACTTTATTAACATATTTTTAGAAATGTAGTTCTGTAAGAGCTACTACAAGAAGAGCATACAATTGGCTACTTGTATAACTTTCTATATTATCTATTTAAAAAGTCTGCTTAATGTTCTCTACCAATTGCCATATTTAACACCTCTGCTTGAATGTTTTATTTAAACCTTTTGAATCTGTTTTATGTTACTTTACTAAGTTAAGTTTAGATCCTTCATTTCAACCTTAGAACAGTTATCCTCAAAGTAAACCCACTGGAGCTTGCTGTTTACCTATTTTTGCAGCTAATCCAGATATAACTATGACAGAACTAATACTTGCAGTTAGAGCTAATCATTAAACTGCTATATCTTTGTAGAGTTTACTCAGATCCCAGTACCTACTTTACAGCATATTTCTAGTACTTTTTAGTATACCCTGCTTCTTTTACCAAACTTCCAATCCAGATAGCCCATTTAGACTACAACAAATCTATTAATATATTAGATTAGCCTAATATTCTTTTCCTCTGATCCAATCTGGCAGCCTGTTTGGTAGTATCTCTAAGACTTCCAACTTAAAGGTTCTTGTTCATCCATTACTTAGACATTGGTATCTGTTTTTTAGGTCTAACCTTTACAGTAGTATTGTTAAAGATCTATGTTACTTTTCTACTTAGGTCTTCCCAAATAGGCTTCTTGTTCACCAATTTCTACAGATTTACATGACCACAAGAACTTATCTTAAGTTTGCATCACCTGATTTGTTAGTTTGCATTCCTCTGTATAACAAGTTACACTGATGCCCATGACCTGCCAGTTATGCTAGTATGAGCATAATTATAGGTATCTTAACCTAATTATTAGAAACAGTTGCTGTAATATCAGATTATATAGGTGATTATCCAAATTTTTGCTATCAATAGGATTTGAACACCCAACCTACCACTTGAAGGGTTGACAACCTGATCATTTTACTAGGTCACCACATCTTTAAAGTATTTAATTTAATTATAATTAATTAATATAATATTTATTAATTATAATATAATGTTTATTATAGTATTACTATATATTTTTTATATATTAATATAGTTATTTTTAATTGCACTTAGAACAACACTTGTAAGAAAGTTTCTAAACATTAAATGTCTATAAAAAATTTTGTAAATGAATATATAGATTATATAATAATATATATTTTATTTTTAGTTAATATATAAGTTATTATATAATAGAGTACCAATTATTGGTAAAAATAAAAAAATATAGTATTGGTTTATCATTCATGCACAAGCTTTATTGATATAATGTATATGAAATTTCTTAATTTTTAATACATTTTGAATACTTATATGATTCAAGATAATATAACAACTTATAATAGTCCTAAAGCCAATTAATTATTAGATTAAAATCTATAAAAAAGATAGCTTTTTGCTTTTCTAAAAGGCAATTCTTTTTAAAGTTTTTTTAAGTTTTTTTAAGTTTTTTCTTATATATATATAAAAGTTTTTTTGTATTTTAATTATTTTTAATAAATGTTATTTACTTATTTTATCTTTTTATTGTTAATAAAAACTATTCTTTATTTTATTTTTTATCTTATTATTCTTTATATTTTATTTTTATTTATTTTATTTTATTTTTTTTTTGTAATAATATAAAGTAAAAAACTATTTTTCTTAAATAATTATTTGACAAATACTAGCTTTATATTATTAAAATTTAAAAACTACATATAGTTATAAAAAGTTTAATTATTAAGGTTTTTCTTTTTCTAGTTATAGTTTATAGATATTTTTAAATTTAAAAATCTAAAAATCTTTGTAAAAAGTAATATTTTTGTCAAGTTTGACCAATACAAAAAGGACAATAGATAACAATTTTAATATATAGATCTATTTAATGCTTATAGTATTTAGAAAACTATTGAATTTAAATTTTATTTTTAATTATTTATTCATTATTTTTTTATTAATTTTTTTTAAATAAAAAATTTTCTATTTAATATTTGTGCTATTTAAAGTTTATTACAATTTGCTAGTTTTTAGTAAATTTTATTTTAATTTTTTTTTTTATTTGTTAAGATCAATGTTATTAATAGCTACTGCCTCTATTTGTGTTTTAGTTAATACAATACATATGACTTGTACAAAGTAAGTGTGCAACTAGCTATATATATAATTTTTGGTTATTTATTTAAGTAGTCTGTCAAAAAGTTCTATACTAGCTATTATACCTGTAACCTACTAGAAAAGTAGCTATTTAAATACTCTGATTCTTATACTGCACTTAAATAAGTAAATTTAGTTACTATACAACTAAGTGCTATTTAATCCAAAATTTAGTCTCTCTTTTTGTATATTTGTTAAGCTATTATATATTCTAAAACACATCATCTAACTGTAAGGCTCTAGAGTGCTTTTTTATTAACTACTTATTTATTCTATAAAACATTAATAAGACTAGCTCTTGTAAAGTTCACCTGAATCTCAGTATCTACTTTATAGCATATTTTTAGTACTTATAGTATACCTTTGCTTTGATTCTAAACTCTCAATTTAAATAGTTTGATAAAACTATAATTTGTTCTTGGTATATTGAGCCAATCTAATATTCTTTTTCTTCAGTTTGATTCTAATGGTCTGGTTGGTAATACCTCTCATCTTAAGGTTTTTGCCTATTTGGCTCCTCTATATTAATATTTATTTTCTAGGTTTAGCCTTTACAATAGTATTATCAAAGATCTATATTACTTTTTTACTTAGATTTTCCTAAATAGATTTCAGTTTTTTCCAGTTTTACAAATTTATATAACTACAAAAACTTATCTTAAGTTTGCAGTATCTGGTAATAGTTTGCATTTCTCTGTATAACCAAGATTATACAGATGCCTCATAATCTGTCAGTCATGCTAGTGTGATTATAGTTACAGGCAATCAAGTATTTAATAATTAAATTTTTGTATGATTGTGTTATTATTGAATTATTATTCAAAAAAATTTTAAATATTATATAATATTGTTAATTTATCATAATTAGAATTATAATTAATAAGATGTAGTGACCTAGTAAAGTGAATAAATTGTCAACTCTTAAGTAACAGATCTAAGATTCAATTTCTACAGACAATGAATTTTGAAAATTATATTTATATTATAATAACTGTCTCTTATTAATTAGTTGGGTTTATGCATCTGTAATTTTAAATACACTAGGTTAGAGTTTACCTAATTTTGGAAGCTCAGAGCATCTATATAAAGTGTAATATTAAACATATATAGAGAAATATAAAAA